CGGAATCAAAGGCTTTCTCATAGTCCACATTCGCCAGGCAAAGTGGTAGATTGTACTCTTCGGTCTTCTGTACAATCTGCCGCAGGGTATGTATGTGGTCTATGGTACTGAAGCCTTTTCGGAAACCGGCTTGTTCGGGAGGCTGGAAGTCGTCGAGTCTGCGTGCGAGACGATTTGTAATGACTCTCGAAAACAGCACGTAGACGCGGCTCAGAAGGGAAATCGGTCTGTAGTTCTTCAAGAGAGCGTTGTCGTCTTTCTTAAAGAACAAGACCACCGCACTTCTGCTCCACGCCTCCAGAGTAGTGCCACCATGGAGAACGGAATTGAAGAGCTTCTGAAGGACTTCAAGTACCGGTGTTCCACGCGCTTTCAGAAGCTCCGCTGTAATTCCATCCTCGCCTGGGGCCCTGCCGTTTTTAAGGTGCTGGAGAGCCATTCTAATCTCGCTCAGACTGACGTCCGGGATATCATCGGAATAGTGTCGGGTAAGACTTGCTCTTGGATCGTTACTCACACTTGCGTGTGGTTCCAACGATGATGTGTACAGCTGCCCATAGAACCTCTCAATCTCACTCAAAATCTCAGGTGTCCCGGAAACGATGCTGCCACACTCAGTCTTCAGCTTTGACAGTTGGCTCTTTCTGGCAGACAGATCTCTGGCAAAGACTTTGGAGCCCTGGTTCCGCTCGATCGCTTCTTTAATACGAGCAGTATTAAAGTTGCGTAAGTCTCGCCGCATGCATTTGGAGATCTGTCTGTTCAGTTGCCTGTATGCTGTCAAATCTATTGACGATTGCAGCCTCATCTCCCGTCTAACAGCCATGAGATTAAGAGCGTGATCGGAGAGTTTTTGTGTTCTTCCGCGGCGGGTCTTGCAGACCTTAGCTCCGACCGCATGGACAGTTTCCACGAGCTTGTCAATTCATATCGTCCACTGCATTGCAATCTTCTAGGCACTGAAAGCGGTTACGTAACTCGAGCTGAAAGGTTTCGGGATTCTGGATTAGAGCACGAGGGGGACGGAGCTTTGACTTCATTAGACGAGACCTCTCCAACTTAACGTTTAGGTTCAGTGTGCCTCTAACCATTCGGTGATCGCTGCCGGTTTTCACCCTTGCGATCACTGAGACATCACTGAACAGTTGGCGTCTGGTCGTCATAATGAAGTGAATCTCATTTTTTGTCGAACCGTCGTGGCTCGACGAGGTCCACTTCCTGTGGGGCCGCTTCTGGAAGAAAGAGTTCATCATAAAGAGTCCCTCTTTCTCCATAAAGTCAGCCAGCTGCTGGCCTCTACGGTTCCGTTGCTCTACTCCAAATTTCCCTAACTTCAGCTCACCGCCTTCTCTTGTGCCTAGTTTTGCGTTGAAGTCTGACGGTGCTGATGGCACCGTGTAGTGGGTTTTGGAGGAATGCATGGCTCTAGAAATATTCTCATACATTTCCTCCACCTCCTCATCGGGATGTGCCGAGGTTGGTGCGTAGACCAGTATGACCTTCAGCGAATACCGTTTGGTGATTCTGAGTATTAGGTACGTGACCCTCGTCGACACACTCCCAATCTTTACAACGTTGTTGACGAGAAACTTGTGGACGATAAATCCGACACCTCCTTGAGACAGATGGTCGCCCTCCCGGTGATATAACAAGTTGCCGGACTCGAGGATTACCGTGTCCTCCCCCTCTCTTCGGACCTCAGATAATCCAATAATATGCCAGCGCAACTTGTCTACCTCTTCTTCCAGCTCCAGTATCTTCTCGTCAGTCCTCAGGGTGCGTGCGTTATACGTTGCCAGGTCGAGTCGTCGTAGGTGGCAACCGAACCTCCACCGGAGATTCTTAGCACCCCCTGCCCCGCCGTTACCATGGTCGTCACATGCAGGAATAGCGGGGCCGCCGGCGACTGGGGGCCGTTTGTTTGCGTCGTTGCTCATGGGGGGATATTTGCCATAGTTGCCACGCTTGGCGAGCGGGTTGGCAACCGCAGTTTTTTATTATGTTATTGTTGTTATTAGGAAGATGCTGCTGCCCATCTCCTGCCTGTCTCCCTCTGTCGCCTCTTACGACACCCACGGGAAGATATGGGGAAGTGGATATTCTCAACCGCCACTACACGGCAACTGAAACGAACGAAACGAAACAACGAATGAAATAAATAAATTAATCCACTCTACAACTACTTGTTTGGAGCCCTAGCTTTGCCACTGATGACTTGGTGTTTGTGTTATGAAAAAGAGGCATTACATCTTAGTCCTTACAGATGACGACGCATCTGCAACTTTAACTTTTAACTTTTATCTAAGCTGCAAGGCGTCTATTTTTCATTAGATTAACTATTATAATTAGCGTTGCCAGGCGTCCGGATAAAGCCAGACACAGTCAGGCTTTTTGGTTGCGTGTCCTGCCAAATTAGTGGTCTGTCCAGCTTTTGTTAGGCTTTTCAAATTTGACTATCATGTAATATTGCAATTAAAGAAATTAATATTGTAATTAATATTAAATGATTAATAAATAAGACTGATTTATTCAATTTAATTGTTCTTTCACTTAGAATTTAAGTAGATTTTATGGTACTAGAAGTATTTGTGCCGCCTTCTTTTGGAATATATCTCTATATTTTTAGAGAAAAGTGCAACTGAATGTGGCTATGCCAGCCAAACGGTTTCAGCACGGTCTCGTTTTAAAAAAAATCATATGTATATCAAAAATATTCATTCCAATGAAATTTACTGTATTAGTACGATAAATGTACCGCACTAGGTATTGCGAGTTCGTAATAGCAAATTATAAAAATGATGTGGATAATGTGATAATGTTTAGCATATAACCTAATATACAACGTTTTTATTTCACATTAACTCGCTTTTAAACAATTACGCTATTTCATTCATTCAGCACGGTCACCTTTTGATGCTGATATCTTTTTTTAATATAACTTATTATATGATCTTATTTTTTTTTATTCGAATTTTATTTTAAATGTTGAACGACACGATCCTGAGCCACCTGTCACTCTCACCTGTATTAAATAAAAAAACCGCGAAACGCGCCTCTTAAGGGGAAATATAATGTCAAATGGCTTAGCAAGAACCTTCGTTATGCCGAAAATATTGCAGCATTAATTTTGAAATAAATATATGGTAAAGTTGAGGATTAATGTTAAGGATTATGTTAGACGAAAACACGATTTCGTAAAATTTTCTCGAGAGAAAAAAAATCCAAAGTTACCTCCAAAATAAACAATAAACCGCTGTTATTCATAAAATACTTTAAATAAGATCATGAAACTTTGCATACTAACTGAACTAACTATAAAGCAGTGCTTATGTTATTTACTTTTTTAAAATACCATTATTTTCACTGTAAAAAGAAATTACCTAAACTATCGGCGCCTATAGCTTGATTCCTGTCGCCCCGTTAGTATCGCTCCGGCTTTTGAAGGGAGAAGTTGTGTCGCTTACGAGCAGAATACATATTACGCAACATGACGACGTAGAATTAAAATGGGAAATAACCGTAATAAAAATAAGAAGCGACTGGCTTGGCGTTAAGAAACAGGCATAAATATGATAAACCTAATGAAATAAGTCTCTAACGACCTATCTACTTACAGTATTATTGATTACAAACATGTCGGTACATAGCATACGACCGCGCGGGGAAGTGGGGGCGAAATTAGAATTTGAGCTGACTTACTCTATCCTCTTAAAGGTTGATAATGATGATAATAAACGGTATCAATTATTGAATGCAAGTCCATCTTTCAAACATGATCCGTATTTATAGTGGACCATACATAGGGCAATCCATTGAAGGCGTTGGGTATTTTATTGTTTATATAATTCGTCGCGCTCGACGGCACATAACCGCAGTCATGATTGTATGACAGTGATTTTGTCGAGAAACCGTGGGAAGTAACCTATTTCGATTGTTATACAAAACAAAATAAACGATAGCCTTGTTGGTTCTGGATATGAGAATTTTCTTTTATAGTAATCCTTTTGTGTTCTAAATTCAATTATTATGTACGATAGTAAATTTTTTTTTATTATCTTTATTGAAAACGTGGTGTAGCTAAGTTTACAGTAAAATTCCATTATTTCAATTACTGCGTTCAATTTCTTGGAACCTAAAATGTTGAATTAAAAAAAATATATATGGTATACTGTGCCAACCATTAGTGCCTCTAAGTCTACCCTCTTCTCTCTCTAATGTAGGCCTCCCCCATAATTTGCCTCAAAGGGAGTTTTCCATAATTACCCAGCTTGTGTGTCCCACGGGACATTTGATATTGGATATTCTTATACCACCACTACACGGTTCACTATTACTAAACATTTATTGGAACTATTATTATTTAAAGTCGTTGAGCCTAGCCGACCTGGAACCTACAAAATCTTGTATTTTTATGCCGGTAACTTAAAACCTAAATGAAAAATTATAACAAAATTAGGAACGGTTAACAAATCCTTTTTGGAGAAGATTGCAGGCCACCATTGCAGTACGAGCTGCAGTGCAGTAGCCAATTACTTTCAAGGGGTATTATTAATTAATTATTTGACTTTTAATAGAGCAAAACAAAATTAAAAAATTATTCCCACATAAAAGCTTCTGAGGTCGGTGCTAAGATATAATGTATCGAAAAATTAAAACGTCTTCAAAAGTTATTATGTGAAAATAATTCAATTATTTTTAATTCTTTGAAGTTTATTTAAAGGGTTTTACTTTTTATTAAAATACCTATAACGTTTCCCCTTTTAGGAATGTCACCATCTCGAATATCGTCTTCTGTTTTGCCACCCTTCAAAAAAAATGAAATATAATCGGTTTACAAAAAAAAGATATTGCGTTAGGTACACAAAGAAAGAACATACAGTCGAATTAAAAACTCTCTCTTTTGTTTGAAGTCGACTAAAACTAAAGCTCGAAGGAAAGGAGAGTAACCTATCAGAGGGTCTTTCATAGCGTTTACTTTATTCTGTACGTCTCTTTTCCAGACCACCAGACTACACTAAAGGCGTGTTCCAGACGTTAGGGTTCAAAGAATTCCACGAATACCTAATGCTACCAGAAGAGAAGAGGAACAGCGATGAGGGCAGGAAGTTACTGGAACAGAGTATAGAAAACATGAAAATGGCAACAAGAAGATATGCTAGGAGACAGAATAAAATGGTCAAAGGACGGTTTCTGGATATTCCTACCAGAGAGGTAATAATTAGTGTTCCTGCCGTTTGAAACATAACAGAATCCGACCAAAGCACTATTCGTATTAAAAATAATACTATTCTCTGTTGATACAGAATGAATTTACAAACTTACAGAGACATCTCTTGGTGGTATAAAGCAATTAATCTCAATTTTATTTTGGATACATTTTTTTAAATAAAAAATATTTATATAGATCATAAACCTACAAAGTAAAATACCGAGGTCAGAAATTATTTTTCTAAGACGATAGTGTAATAGTAAACACTTTTCAAAATGTAAATTGAATAAAAGAAAAAAAATAACCAAAAATATACTTAATTTGCACAATTAAAATAAATAATAAAATATTCATATTAAATTTATGAAAATTTGGTAGCATCAAGCTTTTGTAGTGTAAAAAATATATCACACATCATAGCCCGGGCGTGTCGTTAGATTCGACTATGGCAAATTTACAAAGATGATCTCATGGGTTCCGCTAGATGGCGGTGTAACTATATGCGTATAAACCAGATCTTAAATACTTACCCATACTAATTAGGGAGCGCAGGGTCAAAGAAATAAAATGAAATACCTACTAAGAAAACAAATGAAAATGTATGTGTAGTTTGTCATTTTTGCATTGCAGCTCGGTTGAAAAAAGGTGCGAGACATCTGGTACTGCGTTTGCTAAGTCACCTGCCAAATGTGACGATTATAGCAAATCCTTTCTATTGTGGGAGAGATCCATAACCAGCAGTGGATTACTACGAGCGGACATAATACATGAAAATATGAACTACAACTGCAGAAATTCAACCGTCTTGCAATCTGGATCTGTGCCGTAATTTAAACTGCTATGAATGACTATTCATTGCATAAATACTGTTATTTGTTAGTTAGAACATATATTAAAACTACTAAATAATATTAAAACTAGTTTATTTATAAATAATTTTATGTTATTGATATCACCATATTTTTATTAAATCTATAACTAAAAATGTGCACCATCTATCGATAAAAAGATACATCTGAACCAGCACTAAAATTGTTAGCTCCATCTAGTGGTGAAAAGCAATTCTAAACTTATTACATTTTTTCTTTACGATTTACCTGTTACAAAAGATGGCATTTATATACATAAGAAATGTCAAAATACGGTACAACACGAGTTGGATTCCCGGCACCATTGTAATGAAATAACAAAGAATCCTGCAAGTCTGTAAAAATATTTCGGGGGATTGTGAAGTCTACAAGCACACGCATTGAGACAGCGTGGCGCACCTTTTCCTGTTCCGAAATCCTTATATGAATAAGAGGAGCCCTGTGCTAGCAAAGGAGAATAGTTCTTTGATATTATATTACTATCAATCATAGTTAATATTTTTTATTATTATTTTACAGGTACCACCAATTTATGAATTGAACACAACAGATCTTTCTAAATGGGATGATGAAGTAAAGGACAAAGCAATAGCAATAATTGAAAGTTATATAAATAATGTTCCTTGTAGCTACGAACCTTTAAAAAGAAATTTAGACGAGGAAAAAAGAAAAATTGATGGACATTCTTGCAATTATTGCGATGTGTGCGAAAGGCTTATTATTGGTGATAAGGAATTCTCAATACATTTAAACTCACATAAGCATATGAGAGTTTTAAAAAAGAAAAAGAAATTATTAATGCAAAAAGAAAAAGAAGAAAAGCAAGATAATAACTAAGGGCAAACCTAATTTTGTAATAATTGCAATTTTATTAAGAATTGTTATATAAAATAAAAAATTTTTTTCAAGCAATATGTGTTTTAATAACTAAATATCTAGTGTATTTACAAAATTAAATTATTCTAATTTTCAACAATTTCTTCATCTCGCTTAAATTTTTGTTTAGGAGCTCTATAATCATATTTTTCTAATTCTGGATTTTTTGTAACAATCAGATTGTAAGCCTCACACAATCTACCAAATTCCGAGTTAGTTATTTGAAAAGGTCTAGTTACTGGATCTATATCTGCAATGCTATACATTTTTAAAGCCATTTCCTCACGCACATTCTCTGGAAATAATGTTTCAGCACCCCTTATGGAATACTTTTGACGCATTGAAAATATCTGCCTTATAACTTTCTCAACCATCTTGAATGGTAACTTTATAATTGGTTGTTTTAATGGTGTTAATGTTACCACTCCCACATCAACATCAGGCTTTGGGAGGAAAGCTGTACCAGGTATATCAAATTTGTATTTTACGTTACACCAATTCTGACACATAACGGACAGACGACATCTTTGCTTATCTAAAATTGGTGCGGCCATTCTTTCGGCTACTTCCTTTTGAAAAGTCAATGTCATTCTTGTGCGACCAAGAGACCAAGGTCCCTCTTGTTTTGAAATCATCTCTAACCAACGTATCATAAGTATGGTAGATACACTGAAGGGCAAATTCCCTATTAAATTAACTGGTGGTGGAGGATCTGTCCAACTCACTTTTACATCCGTGGGAATAAAATGTGATACATCTGTTTTCAAAATATCACCAGCAATAATGTCAACATCGACTTTTCCTTTGCATGCATCAGCAATTAGCTCTAAGGTTGGTATAAAACGTGGATCTTTTTCTACCAATATAACTTTTCTAGGCACTTGTTGTATAATAGATCTCGTGATACCACCCGGCCCCGGTCCAACTTCACATACTACATTGTTCTGTATATGGCCTGCTGCTCGCACTATTTTATCGATTAATCTTGGCTCCATAAGGAAATTCTGTGACAACTCTCTGAGTGCGCGAAGCTTGTATAATCTTATAACATCTTTGATTGTGGGTAAGGGAGGAAGTCGTAATTGTAAGGCTCTCTGTGTTGTTGCCATTATTGTTGCACTTTCGCTGGTTCCTCAAAGTCGTCAAGGAAAGTCTCCTGCTTGACCGCATATATTGAATACAAATAAATACCAAAAACTCCTGCTCCTATCGCGCAACCAGTAATCCTGTTTCTTTTAGAAATTTGTTGCAACTTCTGTACGCGCTCGAGGTTTTTCTGTTCGATAACCTTCATATAATCAAGTTCAGCCTGTTTTAACACTGGATTTTTGCTTACTGTGTTGTTAATTTTAGACTTTAAATCGGAATCGCCCATTACGGAATTATAAAATAATTATATTTATAACCTCTAAGCTAAGGAAGTAGATGATCAAAATCATAGATTACTGCATAGAGGAAAGTAATATATCGTACAGATTACTGTATAGTGTATCAGGGTAAATGTATTCTGTGATATCTCTAGTATATAGTCAACTAATCTATGGTGATAGTGTATATACACCACAGAGTAATTTCTAATATACATACGTAGCCACGAAGTTTAGAGAACAGGAGAACTATGGAGTGTAGAAGTAAGGAGTACAGACTGTGTACTATAAAGTGTCTATAGAAAACCGTTAAATAAGGGTAACGCCACTATAGCTACGGGCTAAATTTATAAAACGTGCCGAAAATATTAGTGGGATAGACGACTTTTTGAGGTTACATTTAGTAAATAAAATTATTTTAAATTTTAGAACTATTGAGCCATTTAGCAGCACACTTCTAACCGTCGACAACTGCTAGTTCATTTCTTCCCAGTAGCTACTCCAGCGCTGTTGAGGAGAGTTTTTGAACTTTTATTTACTGCTTGCAGACGGCCACTTTTTCAACTATTCTACTATGGGAGTTGGTACTCCTTACTTCTACACTCCATAAGGAGAACGATCACTATAACTTTACTTTTACTTTACTTTACTATTTACTTATACGTACTAAAGCATAGCCAGCCTGTCCTTGAAAATTGTAGAAATTATAGCGGCGCTGGCGTCGGTGAGTAGTGACTGCGAAGTTAGCTGTTTATGAGTACAAATAGATGAAGTTTGTTGAATGTACAAATTTTCTCCGCGGCTTTGGTGAGAAAATTTTCATGCTCTATAATTTTGTAATTTTTGACAAAAAGAAACATTAAAAAATGGAGAAATATTTTATTGTGCGTGGATGAGCAAGTGGTTTAGCGTCTGATCTGAAAAATAGACTGAAAATGACTTTTATTGACCGAACTTAGCGATTGCAGCGCCTCACTTATGGTTTCCATATTGTTGCGCGCTTAAGTTGACGTCTTGTATCCAGCACTAGCGCCATCTAGTGTCGGGGACCAGAGCGAGGATGGCTTCCCACAAAATGACATCACTAATCTTTCAACCGACAGCGCCATCTAGTATCGAAATGAAGAACTAAGCTTCTAGAAGCCCGACACTCGAACTTTCTGCGCCTGGTCGGTTGGCGCGCGTATTTACTTGAATATTCTGGACGTTTCGGTAAAAAATGTATATTTAAAGGCGCTGCAAGACGCGGTCGGTGATTGAAATTGGCGAGACAAGCGAAGCTTCGGAGCGAAATAAAGTGAATCAGTGTGCTTAGTTATTAGTGTTCTAAGTTTTAATTAGTGTAAAGTGAATTAAAGAATTAATTTTGGTAATTCAATCGGCAGTTTTTATTGTCACGAACCTCAAGCTCGTAACAATTGGTGTCAGAAGTAGGAAAAAATCATGCCGATTTTACCTAAGGAGGAAACGGAGGGTGTCCGTACCCGAAGTCAACGCCAGCTGGAGACGGACCAGAGAGGGTTTGGTGGTGCAATGCCGCAGACGTCGGAGGGCCAGCCGTCGGCCACGGAGGGCGGTCCGTCGGTAGCTCCTGCATCTGCAGCACCTGACTTATGTGCTCTGATGGTGATTCTGCAGGAGCAGGCCCGGCGGTTGGAAGAGCAGCTGCAGCGCGGACAGGAGGAACAGGCCCGCCGACAGGAGGTACAGGTCCGTCGGCTGGAAGAGCAGCTGCAGCGTGGACAGGAGGAAGAGGCCCGTCGGTTGGAAGATCAGCAGGCGGAACAGGGTCGTCGGTCGGAAGAGCAGATGCTCCTCATGAAGGACCTTCACGCTACCTTTGGGAAAGAGATAAGGGAGGTGAAGGATAGGGTTGCTCAACATGACAACCGCCTGTCGGAAGCTGAAACCCAAATCGAGGAAGCTAAAACGCAAATCGACCAAGTGAACAATCGGGTTAACAACGTAATGGCTGACATGAAGAAATCACTGGACAAACTCAAACTTGGGGATGGAACTACAGCTCCGTAGTAGCTACAACACATTCGCTACGTGGATTCAAAGTGCCGCCGTTCGACGGGACTTCTTCCTGGTCAGACTACAAAATCCAGTTCGAGGCTGTCATGGAGGTGAACGGCTGGAATAAAACCAGGCCATGACTGCACTCACCCTAGGCCTGCGCGACCAAGCCTTAACTGTGTTGGAAGCTCTCGGTAAGAAAGTGACCTACGAGCAGCTCCTTGAGGCATTGGAGGCGAGATATGGCGACGCTCATCTGGAACACGTCTTTCGTGCGCAGCTTAAAGATCGCGTGCAACGCATCAATGAAAACCTGCAGCAGTGGGCCCTAGAGGTGGAGAAGTTGGTGCAAAAAGCATACCGGTCTGTACCCACGCTCATTGAAGGGAACCTGGTGCAGACATTCATCGACGGCATCCGCGACCTTGAAGTCAGAGCTGCTGTGAGGCTCGGGCACCACGTGGCGCTTAAGAACGCCGTAGCCCATGCACTGGAGGTGGAAGCCGTGCGGCAGGATATTCGTTTCCATCGCGTCAGGGAGGTTGCAGCAGCTACAATTCGCGAACGCAATAAAGGATACAGCCCTAGGTGCTATAGCTGTGGGGAAAGGGGTCATCTTCGGTCCAGCTGCCCTAAGGGAACTGTAGAAAAGGAAGTTGATCGATCTCGAGAGGGTAGTACAACTAACGACACCTTCTGGCGGCGGCAGATCATCGTTCCCCTCACGCTAGGGAGAGTGCTGCAGTTACGGTTCGCGACCACAATAAAGGATACAGCCCTAGGTGCTATGGCTGTGGGGAAAGGGGCCATCTGCGATCCAGCTGCCCTAAGCGAACCCTATAAAGGGAAGGTGAACAATCTCAGAAGGGAAGTGTGGCTAAAATCACCGCCCAGCAGCAGCGGGAACTTTACTATCAGACATCGCAGCGGGAAATCTCACGGCAACGCATCTGCATTGTCAAGAAGACCTTGTCCTGAAGACTGCAAACATTGTATTGGGCAAGAAAGTAAGGAAGTGGTATCCGTGAGGATGCTCAGGACAGACCACCTCAGCAACGAGTGGAAGGACAGCCTACGACATGCACAGCAGGAAGATCCGGACATCAAGCCGATTCTGGAATGGATAAAGGCCCGTGCTACTAAGCCTAAGTGGAGCGACGTCTCAGCGATGAATTCGACCACTAGAAGCTATTGGGCCCAATGGGACAGCTTGCTGATTCAGGATGGACTCCTGTGCCGTAAATGGGACAATGGTCGAGGAGACAGCTATCGTTTACAAATGGTTGTCCCTAGAGCTAAAGTGCCGAATGTTCTACAGCTGCACCATAATGGTTCTTCAGGAGTCCATCTGGGAGTTAAACGAACTCTACTGAAGATCCGAGAACAGTTTTACTGGGTCCACTATCGTGACGATGTCGAGTATTGGTGTCGCACATGTACAAGTTGTGCGACTGCGAGGGGACCTCAGACACGTAGTAGAGGAGCATCGAAATTGTACAATGTTGGTGCACCATGGGATAGGACAGCCCTTGACATTGCGGCGCCGTCACAGAAAGGTGCAAGAGGGACTCCTAAGATCGTCCATGTGGATCGCCTGGCGCGTTATTATGGGGCCGATAATGCTCGGGACGAGCATGTCTTAGGAGGGGGCAGTGTTGCGCGCCTAAGTTGACGTCTTGTACCCAGCACTAGCCTCATCTAGTGTCGGGGACTAGAGCGAGGAGGGCTTCCCACAAAATAATAATAATAATAATTAATATATATATACATAAGAAAAATAGACTTGAAAATGACTTTTATTGACCGAACTTAGCGATTGCAGCGCCTCACTTATGGTTTCCATATTGTTGCGCGCTTAAGTTGACGTCTTGTATCCAGCACTAGCGCCATCTAGTGTCGGGGACCAGAGCGAGGATGGCTTCCCACAAAATGACATCACTAATCTTTCAACCGACAGCGCCATCTAGTATCGAAATGAAGAACTAAGCTTATAGAAGCCCGACACTCGAACTTTCTGCGCCTGGTCGGTTGGCGCGCGTATTTACTTGAATATTCTGGACGTTTCAGTGAAAAATATGTATTTAAAGGCGCTGCAAGACGCGGTCGGGGCAGTATTGAATTTAGCGAGACAAGCGAAGCTTCGGAGCGAAATAAAGTGAATCAGTGTGATTAATTATTAGTGTTCTAAGTTTTAATTAGTGTAAAGTGAATTAAAGAGTTAATTTTGGTAATTCAATCGGCAGTTTTTATTGTCACGAACCTCAAGCTCGTAACAATATTTCTGGGACACTATTTTCTACGGCGATCGTTCTCCTGTTCTCTAACCTTCATGATTATAGCGTTTAGCGTAGTTATAGTTATGCGTAGTATCCTCTTAGTATTCTGTGGTTATAGCATGGTGCGCGTTATGGAGTGTAAAGGTAAGGAGTACATACTGTGTATTAAAAGGTGTCCGTACAAAACCGTTAAATAAGGGTGGTGCCACTATAGCTACGCGGTAAATTTTAAAGAACGGGCCGAAAAATATTAGTAGGATAGACGACGTTTTCGAGGCTATATTTACTAAATAAAATTATTTTCGATTTTAGAGCTACTGAGCAGTTTAGCTG